CATACTACGCGGCAAGGAGAACCATGGATGCCCAGAAGAGAAAGAGAGGATGTATTTCACAAAGCCAATACGTAATATTGCTTACTTGCGGCCCTGCGCTGCCGACGAAGCCCACGACATGGTGTTGGGCGTGTTCTGAGGCGTGTCGGGAATCATGGGCGAGACGCCCATGGCGACGACGCCGGACTCATCCATGGACGATCCGAGCATGCCATCACCACCACGGGGTGCACCCCGCCGCCGGCCGGCCATGGCCATGGGCGTGGACCCGTCTGTCTCGGTCTCCATGGACGCCAGTGCCGACTGGAGCGACATGCCAAAATCGGTCTGCGACCCGTCTGCCATGATTAATCGATAATGCTGTTGTTGCTAGTCACTTCTTCGGCTTACTTTTTCCTTGGCCTATGGGTGGTCAAGTGCTTGCTCAATCTGCATGTTCCGTCACACCCCGCATGTCCACACCCCGCACTCTGTGGTAAGTGGCTTCCCTGCCTACATTCCCCATCCCCTTTCTCTCGTGCTACCTGCCAAAGTGGCGGGAGGGGGAAGGGGGGGAGGGGACTCGGCGGTGGCGGTGGTGGCGGTGGCGACCAAAACTTAGCCAACGCACGCGTGTGTGCGGCAAGGCCTGACCAGGCGGAAGCAACTCGAGGAGGACCTCGTGCGCCGTCATATACAACGTAGCATGCTTACGTGTATCCATTGAGCAAGGGTGTGTTGGGCAAGGGCGTGGAGCCCGCTTCACCATGGGCAGTTGCTTGAACTGCCGGTGAGCGGCTTGGCACGAGAGACTTCCACGTCATGTGGAACACGTTCGGCGAGCCAATAACCATGCAGGTGTTGCTAAATAAGCCCAAACCAACCCCACCCGCCACATCAACAGATAGCCAACAAGCTCAACTACACCAAGGTCTACTTTGTTCTCCCTTCACGCCGCTCTTTCGTCCACAGTGTTGCTTCTCCTCCGGGGGAGGGAGGGAGGAAGGGGGGGAACACCACGACCAAAAACCAAAAACAGCCGGTGCCAGCCAGCCAAGCAAGCAAGACGGCCCATGGCTCGGCCATACACAAGCAGCCCCCCCACACACACACACCTGCCACCAGCCACACCGCCACCATGACAACAAGCAACCGACAAGCGTCTACACCATGACCAACATCAAGACCTTGTTCTAACTCATCTCACTTCCTTCCCCTCCCTCCCTGCTCCCCTCTCATTGGTTGGCTACTTACCCCTCGGAACGAGTGGAGTGGTACCGAGGTCAAGCGATTTAGGCCAACGAACGAAATGCCATTCACGACTTCTTCAATGACTTGCAAATATGGAACATCGCCCGATGAGATCTTCCTCTGCCTCGCAACGCATAGCTGGTGAAAGAGCCTCACTTTCACCATCCAAAGGTACTACATGGGTAGGAGGGTAGGCCGCCATGGTAGGAGTTGGCATGGTGGTGGTGGTAGGAGGAGGAACATGGAGAATGGGCGTGGGGAATGACGGCCGGTATCTATGGCTCACAGACATCCACTCCTAGGCACGCGTGACTCGGCGACTCGATGGAACACAACATGACATCGCTGACGATATCACACGTAGGGAAAGTCCCCCACTTCTTCAACCAACCAACATCCGAAACTCCTTAACCAGCTTGCCTATAGTCGACCCGCCAACCCTGTACCGCCCCTGATCGCCGTCACCATCACCCTCCTTCCCCCCCCCCCCCCTCCCTGCTATACATATCTTATCCCACAAGTCAACACCCATGTCCTTCACCTACAATCACAGGTCGTCCCCCCCCCCTAGCCCACCCACCCACCCACCCACCCCCTAATCCCCATCCCATACTCCGATCCCCCCCCCCCCCCCCGATACGCCGTCCTCATCCTCCGGGTCGAGCGAGGCAGCTCCCGAGGCCAACCGACCGGGCAACGCACCGTGGAAGCCACCAGTACAGCAAGTAGAACATTCTCCTCTCCCTCCCCCTTCCCCCATACATATAGTATGTGTATTGGCATGGTGGGCATGGGGTGTGTGGTGGTGGTCATGGTGGTCATGACCTCCATCTCGTTGCTCCATGGGTGTGACGGACTGGCTGTGAATGGCGTGACAACAGTCGCCAGTGAGGCATCGTATCATCTCCGTATGGAGTATCCCTACCTCCCGCAATGGAACTTCACCAGTATGCCCTGGCATGTGGCCTTGGCCAATGCCTCGGTTCGTGCTCTACACTTGGATGTTTGGTATGATGCTGGTAGGTGGTCCGTTTGGAATGTCGATGGTTATGATCATGCTTCGCTCTGCTCCTCCTTGACCTCGTGCTTGCTCTCTCTCCGCAACGCCACGCTTCAGCAAGCCGCGGCACCAGGCAACGCCTCATCGTCATCGCTACATGGTCATGCTGAGTATCCTTTGATCTTGCTCATGCTCCGCATTAGGGACGCTGATTTGGTTCAGTTTGCCTCGTTTCAATGGGATGCTCTGGATGCCGTCCTCGCCGCCGGATGGCCTACCGACGAGCTGCTGAGTCCTGACAAAGCGCTTGCTCTTGCACATCGCTCTGGCTCAACTGATGTGAGAGCCATGGCGCGTGAGAACGCCTGGCCAGCCGTCCGTCAGGTCCGCTCGCACCTCGCGGTCCTGATGTACGATCACGGCCTGTCGTACCAGCCGATCGACGGCCCGCGACGGCTGGCCTGGCCGCTGATGGACGGCAGCGCAGGTGCAGATGACTCTCGCGTCGCATTTGTGTACTTTCCCTTTGTCACGGCCTCTGTCGCCACCGACATCGCCGCCGCCGCTGACCAAGGCTACATGGTCGTCGCCGGTGTCGACGGTGGCTATCTCGGCTCGCACCAGTACACCCTCGATGGTGTCCGTGCCATGTACTTTGACACCACCGATGTCAACCGCAACAGCCTGGTCACCGTCGCCGAGGTGGGCGAGTTTGCCACCGCCACCGGCGCAGCGTGGTCGGCTACCCACGCCGTCGTTGCGCAGCAGATCTTTGCCTCTTGCGGCGACTCGGGCTCGGGCGTCCCGTTCTCAGCCATCCCCTGCCTCGAGAGCCAGGGTGGAGCGTCGTTTGGCTTTTCATTCACTCCGAACCTTGCCGAAATCAACCGCGATCCTGCTGCGTCGGTTGCCGCCCGCGATGCTGCCCTCGCTGCTGGTGCCCACGTCGTCGTCACCCGCTTCCCAACGCCGGTCGACCTGGTGACCGGCGAGTCGCGCGCCGACTTTCACGTTGCTCTGGAGGCTCCGTACGTCTGCAATGCGCGGACTGCGCCCACCTCGTGCTCGGTGGCCAACATCTCTGCCGCGCTCCGCGGCGAGTGCGCCGTCGCAGGCTGCGCCGAATGTGAGGCCCTCGATACATGCGTCGTGTGTGCGGCGGGCCACGGCCTCCAGCCTGGCCAGTGGTGCATGGCGTGCACGCCCGACCATCCCTTTGTCTCAACCACTGCGCCGTGTGCAGGGACCGTCCCATCGCCGCCGCCCCCACCTTCGCCTCCGCCACCGCCGCCGCTGCCGCCGCCGCCGCCGCCGCCCCCACCGCCGCTGGCCAGCTCGCCGCCGCCGAGCCCGCCACCAACGACAATGGCCGGCGGTGCGTTTGGAGGCCTCGCTAGCAGCACGACGCGGCCAAAGGCCAACTCTGGCGTCGCTATTGGAGGTTTTGTCGTTGTTTGTGTAAGCATAGCGGCTGCTATCAGCTACAGGTACCGGCGGTCGGTCCAGCGGACGCTCAGGCGGTCGCCGACGCTCGGCGCCCGCGGCGACAAAGACATGGTGGCGCTTGCGCCGCTGCCTGCGCTTGTCTAGTGCGGGAGATCGCACTTTAGATACGAGAACTGTGAGCCAAAGGCGTAGTAAAGGTACCAGCAGTACCAGTTGAGCGCGTTGCCGGTGGTTGTCGACATGTTACGGTTGTCGATGGCGTCGTTGTAGGCGAGGACCTTGGCGTATGACCACCCGAGGTACTGCAGGTAGTACGAGCCAATCGACTCGCCAGTCCGGTCCATGCCACCCTCGCAGTGAACAACAACCACTAGCGGCTTGCCGTGGCTCGACGGAGTGTGGACAAGCGAGTGGAGGTACGGAATGCGCGACGGCAGCTTGTCGATCATGTCCTTGGGCAGGGCCTTGGCCAGATCTTTGCGCACGGCCTCATGCAGCTTGTTCGCATCATCGACCGAGCCGACCAGCGGCCACGAGATGAGCTTACCACGAGTGGCATTTGCGGCAAAGTACGCCTCCTCCACCTTGAGATTGGCCCGCTCCTTGGGCAGCAGCGGCGAGAGGAGCGAAAAGTCCATCATGAACAGATCGTCATCAGCCGGAAACTGGATCGACGCATTGGCGGCCACCTCTGCCATCCGACCGGTAAGCCCTGTCCAATCAAAGCTTCCACTCGGCGTCAAAGGATCGTTGGATCGGAAGAGAAAATTGCCTGTCGTCGCATCGTAGTCCACCAGCCGGAGCTTCTTGCTGTCAAACGTCTCGCCAGCCCCACACGCCACCAGCCAGCACGCCGCCACCACCGCCACGGTTGCCACTACAAACCGCACCTGCACACCCATGTCTTCTCCACTTGGTCCGCAAAGTCGAAACGTGTGTGAGATACGTGGTCGTTCCTTTGCCAACGCCTCGCCACCCACCACACTGCCTTGGCTACTGGTCCTCTGACGCACGCGCACGCCCGCAACGGTTTGGCTGGCTGGCGGCGGAGCGCGTGCGGAGCCCGGAATCGAGTTAGTGTTGGCCATGCGCAGGCAGCAATGATGACGGGAAAGACATGCCCGGCGCTGATCGCTAGCTTTGCGTTCAAGTCGGCGGCTAACCATGTTGTGGGCATCGATGTGGGCTCGCTGCAGGGGGGGGCACTTGGCATCGGCCTGTGATGTGGTGGGGACAGAGGCAGAGGCAGAGGCAAGCAAGATCGGCGCCATACGGCAAATGGGGAAGTTCATCTTGTTCATGCGTAGGTTGCTGGTGGTGGTGGTGGTTGGCTTACGACAGATCAAGAACCGTGCCAGGCTTGACCATGGCAGCCTCGTGGTTGGCCAGCGCGTGCGGGATGGACTGGTTGGTCTCGCGGAGGAACTTCTTGAGGTAGTAGAAGACGCCCGAGTCTGCGTCGGTGAGGAAGGTATGCGCCTCGCCGCCCTTGCCGGCGCGGGCTGTCCGCCCGATGCGGTGGGTGTAGACCTCCATCTGCCGCGGCATGTCGTAGTTGACAACGTGGGTCACGTTCGGCACGTCGATACCACGGCCAAGGACGTCAGTCGCGACAATTACGTTGCGCGAGCCTGAGCGGAAGGCACGCAGCGCAGACTCACGGTCAGCTTGCGACTTGCCACCGTGGATGACCGCCACGGCGTGGCCGGCCTTGCTCAGCGCCTCGGCCACAGTGGCCACGGTGGACTTCTCGTTGACAAAGACAATGACCAGGCCGTTGCGCGCGCGAGAGAGCACCCGCTGCAGCGCCGCCGGCTTCTTTGTCGGCTTCACAAACGAGACAAACTGCTTGATGCGGTCGACGGCACGCCCGACCTTGCCGATCTCCACCACCACTTCGTCGACCATGTACTCCTTGGCGAGGTGGAAGACCTCAGGCGCCATAGTCGCCGAGAACATGACCGTCTGCCGCTGCAGCGCCTTGCCGTTCTCGCCGCTCACCTCGCCCTTCATGGCCTCGAGGATCGAGCCGACCTGCGGCGCAAAGCCCATGTCGATCATCCGATCCGCCTCGTCCAGAATGATGTAGAATGCGCGGGTGAGGACCAGGTACCGCGACTCGATGAGCTCATTGATCCGCCCAGGCGTCCCAATCACAATATCCTGTCCGTCGCGCAGCGCAGAGAGCTGTCGTGTCTTATCGGTGCCGCCCACGATGACGCACGAGTGGAGCGGCGGCTCGACCTCGGCCGCAAACTTGACCGCTTCGTCCTCAATCTGCTGCGCAAGCTCGCGTGTCGGTGCGAGGACCACTGCGTATGGGCCCGAGTCCGCTGTCGTGGGAGACACTCGCGGCAGATACGAGAGCCGTGCAAGGAGCGGGAGCAAGAACGCCGCCGTCTTGCCCGAACCCGTCTCGGCGAGCCCAATAATGTCGCGCGCCTCGAGCCCGACCGGAATGGCCTGCATCTGGATCGGCGTCGGCTCGCGATAGCCTGCGTCGTAGATGCCGGCTGTGAGTGAAGGCGGAAAGTTGCTGTACCGCCCCACGTCGGCCCACGACCGCAGCGGAGGCGGAACCTTGGCGCCCTTGACCTTGATGTCAAAGTCCTCGCGCACAATGTTCCAGTCGCGGGCGGTCATTTCGCTCAGCTCCTTCTCCCCCCAGTGCTTGCCGCCCACCACCGCTGTCCCGCTCCGCCGCGCCCACACCTCCACCACGTCCTTGGGCTTGACAAGCTCCGGGTGCTCCGCCACACGCTTCGACATCAGCTCGTCGTAGAACTTGGCCCCCTCGGACTTGACCTCCAGATCGATGCCACCAAACCGTCCGCGCCCAAATCCCGGCACAAATGTGTGCGGATTGGCGTACAGCTCGTCCACGGCCTCGGACGTGTCGTCCTCGTCACCCCACTCCATCGACTCCTTGCTCGGCGCCGAGAACCGGCCGACTCTCTGCCGCTGCCGCTTCTTCTTCTTCTTCTCCCGCGCCGCTCTCTCGCCACTTCCACCGGTCGAGAGCCCTTCGCCACGCCCGCGGACCAGATACGACTCCTTGATCGCATTGATCATGTCCGATGACAGCCCAGACGCCGCCACTACCTTGGCCTTGCTTCCTCCCGCCCGGGCTCTCGCCACCGATCGGCCACCCGTCTGCACCCCCGATCGACCACTAGCGCCAGTCTTAGCCATGCTCATGCCCATGCCCAACCCGCTGACTGTGCCTGTTCGACTCGCCCGCATCCGTGCATCCTTCCCCACATACCCAACCTGTCCGCCGCTGCCGGCTCCGCTCGCGCCACGTCCACCGCCCGCCAGTCCTAGCACCTCTCGGGCAGACGGCGGGCGCCGCCTTCGGCTTGGTGGCGGTGCTGGCCCACGTGCTGGTGACCTAGACCGAGACCGAGAACGTCCTCTCGGCTTTGAATCCATGCTCGCCTGCAAAAGAGTCGACTGTGGCTCTCTGGCTGTCTCGACGTCTCGACTTGCACTCGTCGTCGTCGTCGAGCCGAGACGCGCTGTGTCGCTCTTGGTCTGCCGCGCCTGCCGCGAATTTGATCAGACCGGGGACGAGTGCTGGCAACATGGCAGGCAGCTCACACAAGGCAGATATCCCTGATATAGGCACAATAGTGATGTGAGATTATAGCTGGGATGTTGGAGAACGTGATGGTTGGGTTGGATGTTTGCAGTGCGGAAGAAGAAAGACGTAAGAGGTGCTGAAAGTGAAAACAGATCACCACAAAAAGAGATGGATGATCAAAGTGTGGTGACATAGTAAACATGACCCAACTGTTCCTGCCGCGACGTTTTTGTGCACTGACGGCAGACATGCTCAAGGCGTTTAGGCGCAAGAGATCGAGTTTATGATGTAGTTCACGAGCGCGAAGCCTCGTATGACGCCGCGTACAGCGATGACGACGGCGATGATGATGATGAGTTGGCCTCGGACGAGCCGGACGACGACGATGACGACGACGACGACGATCGCCCGCCGAGGGCAGTGTAGGCGTTGTCGCGGCCGAGCCGGACGTAGGCCTCAAAGAGCTTGGACGGAAAGTTCTGGGTCTGGAGCGTCGAGTGGTGCGGAAAGTTGTTGTACGCGCCGGCCGGGTACTTTGAGCCGCACCAGGCCTTGAGCGGGTAGTACCACATGAAGGCGCCCGAGGTCGACCAGGGGCAGCACGTAGTGGCGCACGAGTGCGGATCCGAGATGGCCTCGTCATCAAACGAGGCGTCTGCCCAGTGGGCGCCAGCGGCGCGGCCGGTCTCGAGCGAGGCAAAATAGTTGGTAAAGGCGGCGTCACGCGACTTGGACGCATCGATCTTCTTGATGTACGTCAGCTTGCCCTTGGCCAGCTCCTTGTGAGTGTGGTTCTCGCGGTAGGTGAGGTCAAAGTCGACGGCAACAGCGTCCGAGTCGGTGAACCCGAGCTGGGCGATGGCTGATGTCACGTCGGTCCCCGCCTCGCTCGGCACGATCGAGACGTAGAAGCCGTCGAGCGAGGTGTGGGCGAGCTCCATGGCGCGGAGCAGCGAGGTGCATCCCACGGTTGGGTCGGCGCCGCCGTCGAACGAGTAGATGCGGGTGACCTTGCGCTGGAAGAGCGGAAGCAAGCCGAGGTTCTCAAAGTGGCCGCCGTCCGAGAGGTACATGTACGGCGGCGGCTGGACGTAAAATTCGAGACCGAGCATGACCCGGACGGTGCGGAACATGGGCGCGGCCGAGAACAGCTGGCTCCGCTCGTGGAACGGGAAGAACGAGGCAATGTAGAGCAGGATGACGCTGCCGACCGCGATCCACACCAGTTGAAAGTTGAGGAGTGTGAGGAAGAGGAGCGCGCCGAGGACTGCCACCGTCCCGTTGGCCACCAGGGCGAGCAGTTCGGCATGGTCCGAAAAGGCAAAGTACCACCCGAGGCCGAGGTTGAGCGAGCCAAAGAGAAATCGAAACGGCGAGAGTGAGACGTCCTTGGAGCCCATGACAAACGAGATGACTGCGCCTGAGATCGAGACCGCCCGTGACGCCTTGAGTGTGCTCGGTGTCTTGCGGAAGCCGGTCCGCGCCGAGCCGGACTTGGCGGACGAGATGAGAAAGTCGGATGCTGCGTACCGCTCGCCAATGTGCGCGTGAAAGTCGGTCTGCGTCGTTCCGACTAGCCAGATCGGCCATCCGAGCTCGCTCTCGAGCTCGGCAACGTGGCCCATGTTGAGCTGCGGATCCTCAAAGAACGCCCGCCGCAGCAACTTCTCGTACGTGTGCGGCAGGAGCGAGGTAACCGGGTAGTAGAAGAACGGAAAGACAGCGAGCAGAGCAAATGAGCCGAGCATGTACGCCTTGCGCCAGACCGAAAAGTCCCCGACGTTAGCAAACGTCTCCTGGTCGTTGGCATCCTCGATGCACCACTTGGCAATGGCCGCAGTGCCAAAGAGCGCCGCCGCCATCACGATCGCGCCGCCGACAGCGAGAAAGACCCGTCGCAGCGTGCCCTGTGCAGGCGTGACAGAAATGAGGATAAAGACAACAAGCAGCGTCCAAGCCGTCCGCTGCAGCTCCGAGTTGAACTCGTCGTGCCAAAGGATGGTGAGAAAAGTGACAAGAAGGATGACCGCCATCGAGAGCAGCGCCCCCAGTCGCGTCGTCAGCTCCGTTCCGGTCACCAGGATATCGCGCGTCCGCGACTGTGGCTTCTCGCTCAAGCTCTGCCGCACAAGCCAGGTCACGATCGTAATGACGATGCATCCGCCACAGATGGAAAACGCAAGCGGAACTTCCAGATCGAGAAGGTCGTTGAAAAATGAGGTCGACGACGACGATGCCCGCAGCTTGGCGCCCACAAACTCGTCGATGATGATGGTGACCGGCGCCGCCAGCGCAATGCCCCACACAATGTTGGTAAAAAGCGTGACAACGCAAGTCAGGTACAGCATCGCGTACTTGATCAGCACGCCAAACCGCCATCCGGCGGAAATGCCGTCATTCTCCGGCTCAGTCGCCCACGGCGTGAGCCACTGCGACCGGCTCACCATCTTGCGGTGGACCTTGTCCACAATCTCGACCGCTCCCTCGTCGAACGCCTTGCCCTCGACCTTGGCCATCGCATACATCGCCGACGCCGTGTACCCGCCTCCTGACACGCTCGACAGGTACTTGGCCTGCTGCAGAACGCCTGCACGTGCAAGTTCCTGAAGTCCACCCAGGCAGAACGATGCAGACCGGATGCCACCACCCGACAGCGCCACGCCCACTGTCTCGGTCTCCTCCACAGACGGCGGATCGACCTTTTCCATGTCACATCCTCCTGCTGCCGCCGCCACCACCGGCTCCGACCCGCTCTCCTCGGTCACGCACGTGTACTCGTCGTCATAGCCGTAGCTCGACCCAGATTCCGACTCGGAGTATGACGACATGCTCGACCTAGCCGTCCAAAGACGTAGCGCGTAGAGAGGGATCAAGGTGAGCGCTCTTTGACATGAAGGAGAAAAAAAACCCCCCCGATCACACCTTCCCGACACACATACATCCCTCCCCATGACGACAGTTTGACCTCATCCTCATCCTCTTGCTATTTTTTCCTGCCACAGCCAAATAGCTCTAACACCTAGAGCTCGTCTGTTCAGGACAGCCTCTGAGATCTGCTGCTTGTTTTCTGCGCAGTCTGCCAGAAAAGACCGGACAAACGATGGCTACAAAAAGCAACGTGACGTTGGCGCCAAGGCTGCGATCCCCTCTCCCCCCGCTGACCCCGACCCCTCACAGCGACTACACTGCGCAATTCGCACATGGTACTCCAGCCATACAAGCAATACGCTGCAACATGACATGGACTGAAGACTCAGAAGGTACGTACGTCTAAGAGTCAGGTATGGCTGAGCTTGAGCTTGCCGACCCGGCCCCCCCCCCCCCCCCCCCTCCCCACGCGTTCGCCTCTCTGGCGCTCTCTGGCTCGATGCACGCCTCACTCGAATGAACGCTGACGCAAACCACGACTGTCACATGTGGTAGTCAAAGGCCGAATCCCTACCGTAGCCCTATCGGAAGTGTACATGGTTGGAGCGCGTGGTGCGTGGTGATGTCCTCATCCGTACTTTGCTTTGTCAAGGTGTGATGGTGAACATGATGGTGGGCGTGGGCGTCATGGTGGGCACATCTGTCTCTCACTCTGCTTCCCTTCTGCCCGAGCCGAAAATGGCGCCATGCCGATGCTCGAGCGTTCTCAGTTTGAGTGGCAGGATGTGGCGAGCGAGTGCTCAGGTGGGGAGGAAGGTGATATGCATGGTTCGCAGACCGATGTCTGTGATAACACGGCGAGCGCGACAGATAGCGCGACCAGCAACCTGGCTTGCGAGTATGATTGCTTGCTTGCTTGTTGTTGTTGCCTGTGTCTTGTTTGCGCATGGCCCCGAGGTGGAACATCGGTGGCGCGGGCATGAGGCGACCATCCACCTCATGGGCCACCGTGGGTGGTATGTGGCTAACTACATGATGGCTGCATCTCGTTGGGAGGCAAGAACAAGATGGGGCATGCTCAAGGCTTATGCCAAGCCGCTTGTTCTTCCCCAGGCCGCGTGGTGGCCTCTGATTCACAAACGAGTCGATGCTTGGGGTCCGAACTTGTACCGAAGCGACCTCTCGCCGCGGTGGCTCAACGATACCCATGACTTTGCCGTCCTCCTCGCCCACTGTGTTGTCCTGCCCAACGGGACGCTGGCTAATGGTCGGATCATGGTTCATTTTGATGACTTGCCGCTGCAGGATCCCGGCCGCTCTGCCGTTGACGATCAGCTCGTCTGGCAGCATCGTGTGCTCTCTGGCCACAAGGCGACTCGCGGGAGCGCTCGCCGGGCAAGAACGATGAAGCTCGCCGGCAATGAGCTGCTGCTCTCGTTTTTGCATTTAGCAGGTCGGGCGTGCATGAGCTCGATCGGTGAGGCGGGGCGGATGGTGTTTGCCGAGGTGCTTCCGGCGGTGGCAAGTGCGCTCGGTGTGGTGGTTGATGAGTGGGGGTTTGCGCACACGGAGCTGCGCATTGCGCTACCGCTCTGCCTACATGCACCGCATCGGGCGCCTGCGGTTGATTTTGTACTGGAGGCCTTTGGCTTTAAGGTCCTTGGCTTGACACCGGCAAGCATCTTGTGGGTACCGCGCGGGGTAGCCGTCCTCTCATCGGCAGCGGTCTGGATCCGGCAGGCGCCGCACAAGTTTGTGACGCACGAGACAATGGCAGCATGGCTTGCGGCCATCCGCAAGACGTACGTGCCGCAGCTTGCGTCCGAAGCCGAGATCCTCGGGGAGTACAACTACACCTCGTGCGTCGCGGTCTCTCTCGAGCGCCCGCTGGCCGGATGGCTAGCGTCGTTCCGGGCGGCTGGCCGTGTGCCGGACGGGGTTGTCGATGTGGGGCGCGAGCTTGAGCGGAGGCTTGATGGGCGATGCGAGAGCCACACCCTCGGGGCGCACGCGCTCACCGAGACGTCGGGTAAGGACGAAGTAGCCAGGGTTGTCGAGCTCCTTGCGCGGGCCAACGTTATTGCCACTGCGTCCGAGTTCTGGGGCGGATACGTCGACGACGACGCCGGTACGGCAGCGCGCCACACTGGCGACGTTGTTTGGGAGGCGTGGGCGCCGCTGCTCGCGACGCGGGAGAGTGGGTACCTGCTCGATGTCGTGAGCTCGAGCTCGCCGTACAGCTACGCGACGTCGGACGGCTCTGCGCTCTTGATCAACAAGGCTTTCTATGACATGCTGATTGACGTGTGCAACGTTGCGGGCGGGACAGACGCAATGATTCGCGGCATTGTGTATGCGCCGTACTTTGGCCCGCCGGCGCAATCTGTTCCGCGCGACGAGGCACGGTTCGCCGCGTTTGAAAGCGCGTTTGGTCCGTTTCCGCCGCACACCTGGGCCGACCTGCCCCAGTTTGTGGCGCGGGTGGCGGACTCAGTGGCGCCGGCCATGGTGGTGGATCCGATGGCGGTGCAAATGCTCCGTGATCCGCGCGAGGTCTTGGCGCAATACCCGGCAGTCGTCGGCCCGACGCCGCTGGCGACGTTTGAGCGGGAACGACCCAAGTCGACGGCCAAGTATGACTCGCTGTATGCTGACAAGGTTGTGCACCCAAACCACGCCGATGTGAATGGGCGGATGGTGTGGCCGGTGGAGAACAACGCGTCGTGGGTGGTCTACATCCCGGACGGGGCTGTGGGCGAGGACGGGCTGGTCTTTGACCGTGACTACGTCCTCAATGTTGGGCTCACCGATGCCGACGACCAAATGGCGTACGCGTGGCGTATGCGGTCGGAGGCGCGCGGGCCGCGGATCCGGCCAATGCTGCTGAGGGTGGAGGGCGTGGTGTACAACCTGGTCACGAACTGGTCCGAGCTCTACTTTCACTTTTGGGCCGAGACGGTGCCACGGTTGCTGCTTGGCGAGAGCCTTTGGCGCGACAACGACAAGATGTGGATCTACATGTACGTCGGCTTTGGGTATGTGCAGCATGCGCTGGAGGTGATCGGGCTCGGCGAGCGAGTGCTCCCGTTCTCGCACCACCAGGTGGTGCTCCCGTCAGACGGAGTGTACTTTGCACGGCCGTCGACTGTGTACTACATTACCGCTGAGGGCGCCGCAGCGATCTACAGGGCGTTCGCAGAGGAGACCGGGCTGAGCCGGGCGGCGGCGCGCGGGAGCCGGAACGATCCGATTGTGTACATTCGGCGGACGGTGACGCGGCCTGCGGTCAACGACGCCGAGGTCCTCGAGCTGCTGCAGAGCAAGTATGGCTCGCAGCTGGTGGTGTTTGACGATTCGGAGCCACTGACACTCGAGGATACGATCTCGCTGTTTTCGCGGGCCGGAATGGTGTTTGGCACCTCGGGCGCCGGCATGGTCAATCTTGTCTTTACGCCGCCGTCGCAAAAGGTGGCGCTTGTAGAGAACATTGCAGCGGGTGACATGTGCCTCTGCCACTACCACACGGCGACGGCCGTGGGTGGGCGGCACTACTTTCTGTTTGATGCCACGTCGACGGAAAAGTACGCGCCGCAGACGGTCGACGTCGACGAGTTGGGAGTTCTGCTGGATCTTGCGTGGAGCGAGCGGCTGGAGCGGCTGGCGACCGAGCTGTAGCAAGCGGGCGGGCGGAGGCGTGCGCATGCGGGTGAAGGCCAGTAGCTGCTATTCCCTTTCTTTGATGTCGATCAACGAGCAAGACGGCACGAGGAGGCGGCGTGCTGGGGGCGCCGCGGCTCCGCGCCCGTGTTGGCGAGACGGGGTGCGCTCACGAAGCACGAGTGGCCGAGGGCGCGGCCGATGACGAAGCGGCGGCGGCGGTCGGCTCCGGGGTGGATTGGGTGGCGGAGGTGCGTGGGGTGGGAGGCGGGGTGGACCACTCGGGCACAACGTTCCTGGGGGTCTTTGCGCGAGCGCGCGAAGCGTGCGGGTCCTCGATGCAGCCGGTGGCGAGGTAGTGGTCGAGCTGAGACGAGGCCGCGAGGAGGAGGCCGAGGAAGGGCGGTGACGGCACGAGCGGGCGAGTGGTGTACTCGGGATGGAACTGGGTGGCAAAGTAGAAGGGATGGCTCTTGAGCTCGACGATTTCCATGCGGCGGTTCTCGTCGCCCTTGCCGGAAAAGACCAGCTCGCCCTTGGCCTCGAGGCGGTCGATGTACTCGGGGTTGACCTCGTAGCGGTGGCGGTGGCGCTCGTAAACGATGTCGGTGCCGTAAAGCTTGTGAGCGAGGGTGTTGTGGGCAATGTCGGTCGGGCGCGAGCCGAGGCGCATGGTGCCGCCGAGTTGGGTGGTGGAGACCTCGGGCATGTTGAGGATGACGGGCTCGGCAGCGTCGGAATCCATCTCCTCCGACGCAGCGTCGATGATGCGGAGGACGGAGCGGGCGTACTCGATGACGGCAACCTGGAGGCCAAGGCAGATGCCGAGGAACGGGATCTTGTGCTCGCGGCACCACTTTGCGGCGGCCATCTTGCCCTCAAAGCCGCGCTCGCCAAAGCCTCCGGGCACAATGACACCGTCGGCAGAGCAGAGCTTGGCCCAGGTCGCGTGGTACTCGGGAGCGTCCGAGTCGAGCATGGCTTTCTCGAGTGAGGGGGCCTCGACGAGAACGAGGTTGAGCTTGCGATGGGCGGCGTATGCCGCGTGGTTGAGCGCCTTGATGAGCGAGTGGTACGTGTCCGACGCCGAGTCGAGGTACTTGCCGACGAGGGCGATGGAGACCGGGGTGGTGGTCTTGTCGATGGCGGTGGCCATCAGGCGCCAGTTGCTGAGCGAGTACGCGCTGACGAGCTCCTCGTCCGGCACCAGCTGGAGGTGCGACATGAGGTAGTCGGTCAGCCCGTTGTCCTCGAGCAGGCACGGGACGTGGAAGACGTTGGCCAGGTTGTAGACCGAAAGCACCTGCGGGAGCTGGACGTGACCATTGAGCGCAATCTTGGCGCGGACCGACTCGGGCAGCGGGTCCTGCGACCGGCAGACGATGACGTTGGGCGAGAGGCCGAGTCCGCGCAGGGTCTTGACAGAGTGCTGGGTCGGCTTGGTCTTGGCCTCGGAGCCAATGGTGGGGACGAGCGAGACGTGGATGAGGGCAAAGTCTTCGGCGGGCGTCTCGTACTGCATCTGGCGCATAGCCTCAATGAACGGCATCGACTCGATGTCGCCGATCGTTCCGCCGAGTTCGATGATGCAGACCTGCGGGATGCCGCCAAAGCGACTGACAGGCATCCGCGCCACGCGGTTGATCCAGTCCTTCACCGCGTTACACACATGTGGCACAACCTGGACAGTCTTGCCCAGGTACGCGCCGCGGCGCTCGGCCTGGATGACTTCCATATACATCTTGCCGGTGGTGATGTTGTGGTCCGAGGTGAGGGTGATGTCACCGAACCGCTCGTAGTTGCCCAGATCCAGATCGACCTCTCCTCCATCGTCAAGGACAAACACTTCGCCGTGTTCGTACGGCGACATGCAGCCGGCATCAATGTTGATGTAGGGGTCGATCTTGACGTGGGTGATGTTGATACCACGAGACTTGAGAATGACTCCCGTGGATGAAGCAAGAACACCCTTGCCAACGCCCGAAAGCACTCCTCCAGTCACGACGACATATTTGGTGTCATGCGGCGGCGGCGAGAGAAGGAGTCGCTCGCCGAGCGACGGCAACGAAGCGGCAGCGACTGGTGGACGAGTGGCTTGCGACTGCGGGAGAATAGGCGAGGGGGGGGGGGGGGAAGGGAAGGGGAAGGGGAAGGGAATGAGGAGAATCCCTCATGGGAGGAGTAGTTGACGTAGTATGCGTACCATATCTGATGACGTGAAAGACAAACAGAGTGATGTGTAACGGGTTTGGCTTGTGGCGGTAGGGGGGTCGTCAACTTGGTCCGCCGAGGTACTCGTCGTTCTCGGCCAAGGAGAAGACCAAGACGGTGAAAGAGGTGACGCAGCTGGTACTTGCTCGTGATGCAAAGCTTTGCAACTTTATCGAGTGGAAGGGCTACAAGCTGGTGTATCGGCGGTACGCGAGTTTGTACTTTGTGGCTGCCATCGACATGGACGACAACGAGCTCATCACGCTTGAGACCATCCATCAGTATGTTGAGATCCTGGACAAGGCGTACGGCAATGTCTGCGAGCTGGACCTCATCATGAACTTTATGACGGCGTACTACCTTCTCGACGAGCTCATCATTGGCGGTGAGCAGCAGGAGACGTCCAAGAAGGCCGTCCTCCGCGTCGTTGCCCAGCAGGACGCGCTGGAGGAGAACCCTAATGATAAGGCCTCTCAGATCTGATCGCTCTTGCTTCTGCCGTAACTCTGTCCCGCTGTGAGGTAAAGACCGACGCAGGCTGCGACTCACACCTCGCTGAGCGCCGAGGCTGGAAAGACGCAGCACGGGACAAGCCAGTTGCGGACGCAGCCGTAGTCGAACGGGTTGGCCTGGACCATAAAAGTGTTGCGGATGTCCTCGTGGGTGGTCACATTGCGCGAGAGAATCGAGACGTGGTAGCAGCAGAGCATGGGAAGGCAGCACCCGATGACCACCACGTACACAATAGTGGTCACAGCGCCGCCGACAAAGACCGGCGTCACATCCGCAGTCTCAAGCCGCACCCAGGTCATCACCGTCGCACCCAGCACCTCTAGTGCCAGGAGCGAGGTGACGATGAGAAAGCCCACAAAGTACTTGTAGTTGCGCTCGCCGATGCAGGTGCCCATCCATGGGCAGTGGTGGTCAAACTTGCGGACGCAATTGTCACACTCGGCGCAGTGCGAGGCCCGCGGCGGGCGGTACACCTTGCACGTCCGGCAGTACTTGACCTCGATCTTGGCGCCATTGCGCCCGACTACCAGCTGGTGGCTCATCCGCTCATCGCCCGCCTCGTCGGCAGCCTGCGCCTCACGCTTGCGCCGCTCCCGCCGCTCCCGCCGCTCCTGCCGCCGTGCCCGCCGCCGCGCTCGCCGGGCCGCCTCCGACTCTGATTCGCTCGATCTCTGACTGACCGCGTCGTCGGCCTCCTCCTGCTCGCTCGTGCTCTCGACAACGTCGGGCGCGTGCTTGCCGAGCTCGTACGCAGGGAGGTCGGGATCGTCGGCGAGCTCGAGAAAGACGCCGCGATGTGGCGGGATGATACCAGGGTCGACCAGCGCAGTCTTGGCGAGCAGCGTGAGCGAGAGGACCAGCAAATATGCAGTCGAGCCTAGAATAAGCCAGCCCGCGAGTTGGCCAAGCGCCCGCGGGACGAGCGGGGCGATCATGGCCCAGAACAGGATGTTGGGCAGAGCCATGGCGCCGAGCGTCATGCCTGCCGACCCGCTCCCTGTCGGCCCACGCACAAGCCGTCCCGAGCACATGAACACCGAGTTGCCCGGCCACTTGCGCCACCCCAACATGCCCATCCTCTGCTTGACTGGGGAGACGTGCCCACGCCCGGGCGAGCTTCTGCCACATCGGCGACTTGGCGACTTGGCGCCCTGGCCGCCTGAGCAGCACGGCTATGGCGGCGATGATGGGCGGGCGATCAGGACTTGTTTTGGCCACATCATGGTCGGTGCCATGTAGAACTATTACATACAGCAAGTGATAAGCGTTGGAACTATGTCTCCGACCCTCCTCCCCTCCTCCTCCTCCCCCCCCTTTCCTCTCTGCTCCCTCGCCACTCAGGCTGAGCATGTTGGCTTGGCTTGGCTTGTTCCGTTTGTTCACTCATTCCCCCGTCCGTTCGTTCGTTCGTCCGTTCGTTCAATTCGTTCGTTCGTTCGTTCGTTCAATTCGTTCGCTCGTCCGTTCGTTCGGCGACAGCATGACGCCGTCCTTAACTCCCCAACACTTTGACACGGATTTCACGCCACCTCTTAACTCTCATCCAAACATGGTATGTGACTGGCAAGGGATGGGCGTGTGAAGCGGGGGCATGGGTTGGAGAAGAGCTTTGAGAAGCGAAGAGGAGGAGGGTAGCAATGAGCATGACATATATATGTGCATAGACAGTGTTGTGCTGTAAGAGGCCTTCTCCTATGGCTGTGTGTGGTGTGAGGGTGGACGGTGTGAAGACGGGGGAGAGGCAAAGGGGGGAAAGGGCGATGGACCGGATCTCACCATTTGTATGACCACAGGCTCGCGGACCGAAGAAGCACCTCAAGCGCCTGAATGCGCCGACCCACTGGATGCTTGACAAGCTCACCGGTGTCTGGGTACGTACACACCATACCTATGCCTTGTTTCCCATCCCCTCTGTGTTATATGCCGCCCATGCTGCCCGTCATAGTCGGCCACAGCTGGCTTGCCAGGGATGGCCATTATTTTGGCTGTCGCAGGCAGACACACTCCCCCCTTTCCCCTCCCCCTACCCCCTCCCCCCCCCCTCGTGCACTCACCAGAGAACAACATGATGTTGTGTTGTGTATCGAGTAGGCGCCGCGCCCGTCGACTGGCCCGCACAAGCTCCGCGAGTGCCTGCCGCTCGTTGTGCTCCTCCGCAACCGGCTCAAGTACGCCCTCACCCGGCGTGAGGTCATCCTCATTGTCATGCAGCGCCTCGTCAAGGTTGACGGCAAGGTCCGCACTGACGCCACCTACCCGGCTGGCCTCATGGACGTCGTGACTATCGAGAAGTCCGGCGAGAACTTCCGCCTCGTCTACGACGAGAAGGGTCGCTTCCAGGCTGTCAAGATCGGCGCCAAGGCTGCCTCGTTCAAGCTCGGCAAGGTCGTCCGCCAGCAGCTCGGCCCGCGCGGTATCCCGTACATCGTCACGCACGATGGCCGCACCATCCGCTACCCGGACCCCGACATTCGCGTCAACGACACCGTCAAGATTGACATCGCCACTGGCAAGGTCACCAAGTTCATCAAGTTTGCCGTCGGCAACATCTGCATGGTCACCTCGGGCCGTAACATTGGCCGTGTTGGTGTCCTCCACGACAAGGAGCACCATGCTGGTGGCTTCGACATCGTCCACATCCGTGACGACGCCGGCCGCGAGTTCGCTACCCGCCTCAACAACGTCTTCATCCTTGGTGACGACAAGCCGTGGATCAAGCTCCCGAACAACAAGGGCATCAAGGCCGACATCTTCGAGGACCGCGAGCGCCGCATGAACAACCAGACTACCCAGTCGCTTTAAACAAAGGCTGCACGGTCAACCTGCAATCCGACCCCCCTTCCGTCGTCTCCGACTTTCCCATTTGGGCGGGCTGAAGCCAACGCCGTGCGTCAGTCGAGAGCCAACCCGTTTCTCTGCTGTCGGCAGCACACCCAACTGTTTCCAACTACAATGGCCTCCATTCCCGCCGGTGACGCCGCCAAGGGCGCCAAGATCTTCCAGAAGCGCTGCGCTCAGTGCCACACTGTCGATGACGTACGTAACCACAGTCTTCGCCACATGTTGCCTCACGTCATTCCTTTTCTCCATGTCGCCTTTGCTATGGCTGCCGTCCTTGCATCGGCTATTTTTGTCCCTCATTGCCCCCCCCTTCCCCGCCACACTACGCGACATCCACCCACTTCCGCACACCGCCAGCCCCCCTCCCCCCCCGTCCACCTACGGCCCCACCTCCATCTCTACACCCACAAGAGTACGACCGACATGGCTGAACATCCCTTTGGTTTATCTTTCTGTTCATATAACTTGCCCATACCTACCCCCTTTATACACCCCCCCTGCGGCGTGGGCAACTTCACACCGCTCTAGGCCTGGGGTCTGGGGAGTTTTCTCGGACTCGCCAGCCGCCGCCGGCGCTTTGGCCGCCTCTCCTCGACTTGCGCCACTAAGTATGGCGAATAAAGTGTTGGCATAATCTGACCACCCGTGCGGACCTCGGGGCTTCAGCACTTACGAGCAATCGCCGAGATTCGCCGACATCGACTCGCTGAGGCGTTGTATGTCTATGCTCTTCGACATCAGGTGCGATGTCCTTATCCTG